CGCTGACATTGTAATGGATGATTTGGAAAATGAGTGTCTCAATATTTTAAAAACTCAACATAATTGTATTCCATTATTCTATTTCCGATATGTTGATGACACATTACTTTGTATTCATAAAGACCATATTGATTTGGTCCTCACTGTCTTTAATTCATATAATAGTAATTTGCAATTTACTCATGAACTGCAAATTAATAATCAGATAAATTTTCTCGATATTACTTTAAATGTTAAAAACAATAAAATTATTCATAACTGGTATCAAAAGTCGACCTCTTCAGGCAGACTTATTAATTATCTTTCAAATCATCCAAATCAACAAAAAATTAACATCGTATATAATCTTGTTGATAGAGCGATTCTTCTTTCACACAATTCGTTTCACAAAGATAACTTAGCGAAAGTCGAACAAATTCTGATTAATAATGATTACCCTACTTCCTTTTTCAAAAAATATATTAAAATCCGCTTGAATAAAATTAAATTTGATAACAAAGATCAATCTTCAAAAAAATTTCGTTCAGATTCATATAAACAAATTCCAAAAATTTGTTTACCATTCAATAATTCTGGTTTCGCTGAGTTATCAAAAATCTTAAGATCATACAATATACATTCTATCCCAATTGTTAATAAAAATCTTACATCAATTGTGAAATTGGGAAAAGATAAAATAGAAAAATGGCAAGAAACCAATATTGTGTATAAATTCAATTGTAAGAATTGCCCGGCAAATTATGTTGGTCAGACGAAACGCTCATTGAATACACGCATCAATGAGCATAAAATAACAAAAATGATGAATCTGTGGTACGTGCACATCAGCTAAAATTCAAACATGATTTCGATTGGAGTAATGCCATTATTTTGGACCATGAACCAAATTATAAAAAACGATCTATCTCTGAAATGATACATATTCTAAGTAACAAGTCTACGATTAATAAGAAAGAGGATATTTGTTTCCTTAATAAGACTTATTTTCCTCTTATAAGGAAACTGAATTCAAAATAGATTACACGTGCCTTTGCTATGTTTACGTTTTTGTCCATTGACCCTGTACTTTAGAATTGATGGTATTTCTCCAATATTTCTGAAAATATTTTCCAGTCTTGACTTGATGTTCGCATCGAAATGACGATAATTGTCGTGTGTCCGTTTGTTAGTATATTGTCGTTATTTATTTATTTAAACAATTTTATCTCTTGACTAGTTGCTATGTGATTATATTATTTAAATATTCAGGTATTATTAATATTCTTATGTTCATTTTATTTATTTCTACTGTGTATATTTATTTATTTGGTGTTTTATTAAATAAATTAGCCTGAAGAGGATGGTAAACCACACCATCGAAACGTCGCAACTTCAAAAAACTACATAAACTTGTTTTATGTTTTATTACCTTCCTATGGATCGAATTTAATTTTTTAACAAATACACTTGGAAGGGAATTTCTTTTAATATGAACCAAATTTATTTTTAATTAATAATGAAATTTACTTATATTCTTCGAAAATAAAAAGATTCTATATAATAATTTCGAATAAATTTAATTTCAATTAATAATATTTTCGAAATTATAATATAATATTCCGGGCACATTCGCCAATATTATACCTGTTTTTGTATTTTATAATGGAATTGTGTTTTATCGAAAGCCGCGTCGAGAGAGGTTTTGCCACAGCACATAAACAAGAACATAAAAATAAAGCGATTTATCGTCAGGTGTGCATAGAAAACATTTTGCATTATACACAGTCCAGTTTCTATATAAACTGTGTGTTTTATTCTAATATGGCATTGTTCGAAGGTACTTTTTACTGCCTTGTACTCTGCTCTATTTTCAAAGTAGTAGAGTATACTCAGTAATCAGTATATATATATATATATATATATATATATATATAAACGGTATTAAAATTGCTCTTTTATGTATATATTTAAAAATGTCTCTGTCAATATGGAAATTATTGTCGTTTAAAAGAGTTTATATATATAATTATGTGAAACGCTTAAATACATGATGATCATATTTTTCTGCAACCTATAGTATATCACATATAATAACCTGAACCAATTACATTATTATAATAGTTAGAATAAATATAATAAGCGACTTCTAATGAAATAATTCTAGTTTCTTTTTTTTTGTTATCTCAATGTAATAAATTGTTTACAATTATTAATTATTATATTGAATAATTTACTTTTTATTTTATTAATTATATCAAAATCAATTGATAACTGTTTTAAGAGGAATAACAAAATTAATATCAATTTTATAATAATAATAATAATAATAATAATAATTATAATAATTATAATATTAATAATAATAATGCGTTTAGTAAAATTATTATTATTTTAATTTATGCTTTTAAAAGTGTGGATCAAAAGTAATAATTAATATCAAGTGCAGGCGTTTTCAGTAGTAAAAATCATTATCGGTCAGACGTGAAAATTTCTAACGCACTATACCAAATATAATATTTAATTAAGTTACTAATTTAAAATTTTTGAATACATATTTTAAAAAGAATGTATGCAAAAAAAGTTATTATAAAATTAATTTTTTTTTGTAAATTTAACTGAAATAATAGGTTAAAAAAAATTATCTTTTTTTAAAGAAAATATCTATTTCTGTAAGAGCGCACGACCTCTATGTTTACAACACGTTCCTTAAGTAATTTTAAATGGCAACTTCGTTTCAGTTAATCCAATATAGTTTACGAACTTACGAAGGCAAAATGTGATAATCATCTTTCTAAATGCTTCTCATTACCTGAGAAGTCTAGAATTGCTATTACATTCATACACCTGGATTTCCCACTTCTGATTAAGTCAATATTTCACAGTTTATTACGTGTTAAGAAATTTTATGCAGTATTATAGTAATTTAAATAACTTACTGATGGTAATTTATTTCATTTTTAAATCATCAGTTGATATTGATTTTAAAAGTACAAATTTTATATATTTGTTAATAAAATTTTTTTTTAAATTTAATTAGAAAAAATGTAACTGATAATAATTTTTTGCTAGATATATTTTTCTTTTTTTTTTTTTTTTTTTTTTTTTAATAAAATCTTGTTAAAACGAAAATTCAAAGAATTTAAATAAAAATTCCTTTATTTACTCTGAGAATAGTATATTTCTATATCTAAGTGCAAAAACGTGACAGCTCATTTATTTTTGGTACTGGTATTAGAAATATATATTTTATTACTATCAATATATCTCTTTCTTTTATGAAACGAACATGAAATAATTTTTAAAATTTAAAACAAAGAGAAATAATCTTGATAATTGTTATATGTTATTAATTATAATTCAAAGATTCAAACAAAATTAGAACTTCGTACATATATAATTTTTTTTTTTTTTGTTTAAACATACAATATATAAATCTTCTACATATAATGATTCTATCTCTTTTGTCTAATCTTTATGACTCATATTAATTTCATCATATATATATGTACGTATATACAATCATTCGCCATTTATATTATTTCACACTATTAATCAATATTATTACCTCTGTCGGTTTTTTTTAACAAAAAGGATCATTATCATAGTTCAGTATTATAAAAATTTCCTAAGAAAATTAATCTGTAATTTTTCATTAGCAAAAGTCAGCGTACAAAGGATTTTTCAGATTCAGAATCAAGTAATTAAATATTAAATAAAAAAAAAAATGACACAAAATAGTATTCAAAGAAACTACAAATATATAAAATAATTACTAAATATAGTTTGGTTAATGTCTAAATTGACATATACATTTGTAATTGAACCAAACTGGTACATTATTGAATTATTATTTAACCGAATTTTAATTTAGCATAAATGTTATTTAGCCGAAAAAGGTTAAGCTGAATTTTTCTATGGCCTCATATTAGTTCGGTAAAACGTAGATAGATGTAAATAATATTAAAAATGACAATTCGGGTAAATTACAATTTCTTTAAATACCAGTTCAGATAAGGAAATTCAGTGAAATGAAAATAAAAATTTGGTTATATGACTATTTAGTGAAATGGTAGTTCGTTTAAATGACGATATTGTGTAATTTACAAATTTAGTTAAAGATTTAAATTAAATTTGCGGTTAAATTACAATTGCGTTAAATGAAAGTTCGGTGAAATAACAATGCGGTTAAATAAAATTAAAATAATCAAAATTAAACAAACATATTTTTATACGAAGAACATGTTTTATTTTATTATTAACATTTTGTGAATACTTTTTGTTTCAGATATTTTTTCTATACTTTCATTTGAATAATAATTAATCGCATATATACTTATACCTTTAAACTCTTATACGTGACATTGTCAATAACTCCGTCACAATATTAACTTAATAAATGTTATTTGATTATTTTATTTATAAATGATTAAAGTATTTACATGTTTACATTATTCCCGTGTAGAAATGTCCCTATAAGCTTCCCAACGTGATAATGGATTCCGACTAGAACCGCGCTAGAAAATCTATAGCCTAGAAAAGTCGTACTCGAACCTGATTAGATTCTTGTGAGAAATTCAGACTAGAAATATCTGCTGAGATCCCGTTTGAATTCTAGAAAGGCAATTCAAACTAGAAAAATCTGATTAAGCCCTTACTAAATTCTATAGCCAGAAATAACTCGAATCGGACTTAGATTATTTTTCGATGTTTTCTTTATTTAAAATATGAATTTAATTATGTTCAATAAGGGACACAAATATTTTTAAAATGTTCGTTTTAGAAATAATAATAAAAAAATAAATATTTATAATAATAAATTATAATAATAAAATTATTAAATAAATTAAATTTATTATTAAATACCACTGAGTGATAGAATCAAAATAATATTATTAATAAATTACATTATAGTTTCACTTTTTATTTAATTTAAAAATAATATTTAAATTTAAATCGAAAATATCGAAATCGATGTATCGAAGTTTTCAATATATCGATGTTCCATCGTCGAGAATGATGACATGAATGGTGCAAGTGCACATGTCATTTTGTGTGAACCTGAATTTTATTGTTCTTTTGTTAATTAATAATGGAAAATAATGAGAGGAAAAAAAAGCAATCACGAATGTGTAGCAAACAATATCGTGAGGTGAAATCCGTACGCGCTGAATTAAATAGAATGCAATATGTTCAAGAGCAAGTTATGGATATTGACAATTTAGTTCACTCAAATCACTCATCTTCTTTATCAGAAGGTAAATATTAACATAATATTATCAATTTAAGAATATTTAATATTAAGCCAACAAACATGAAATATGTACTTAGAATATTAAAAGTAAAAAATATATTGATTGGTTTTCTAACCTCAAATTTTGTCTTTATATTAATATCATTATTGCAAATTTTTACTATGATTATTCCAATTTCTTCAGGTAATATTATGATTTCTAACTTTTTTATTTATAATTCTGGTTAAAATTTGTGTTAGTACTGTTTGGAGGTTAGGAAGTTCATTTAAAATTCACGGCTATAATAAATAGCATAACGGGCGTTTTTAACTCTACAATTTCAAAAACACACACGGAAGAAAAGACGTTGGATCTTTATGAAAATATGTTTTTTGGATTTATTAAATATTTATTAATTTTTATTTAATAATAATAATCGATTAAAGGGAGCTAATAGAGTTCTAGCGAGAACCCTTTACTTCTGGTAGGGAAATCGCATATATATCCCTGCTGGATCCCTACCAACATTCCTCGCTGGTGTCGATCGTGACGAAAAATGCCGGGTCCCGCCTAGAGTTTCCCTTCCGGAACCCATCTGGCGAAAGGGACGCACAACGAGGTCCCTATTAGAATCTAACTCAAATTTCTGCACGGGATATGAAAATGTCAAAACAATAAATGCAAGTTACAAGGACTGACAGAATTGCGCTTGCTCATGACAATGCGCAGAAATCACCTGCAGGAATATACATTTACAGCTAACACCGGTCTCACAGACCGCTATACTTGATATTTTTATTTATATTACAAAATTTAACGATTTCTAAACTTTGAAACATTTGTCATCTAATAGATTTTTATAAAATATAAAGCTATACTGAAAAGAGGTCAAGCTTTTATTCTACTTTGAAAAAAGTAATAAAGCAAAAACCTTTAAAGCAGTTTAAAGTAGGTTATATTAATGGCAATTCGGTAAAGCGAAAATTAAGTGAAATAACAATAACAAGTAATGATAAAAAAAACCAAATTCTCTGTTTTCTAAAGAAAATGTTTTGAAAAAGAATATACAGAAGAAGAAGAAGCGAAACTTGGCAAGTAAATGCTTTCCGCACGCAGTGGAGATCTAAACTACATCATAAAAAAAATTCTCATGAAGCCCAACGAAGGACACACTCTGTTGTCCACAATATCGAGTGGATAATAAACGACACATCTGTCCGTATAACATAAACGCTTCTAGCGAGGAGGAGAAACACTCATCTACTGTCGGATTGAATAAAACATGCATTTGATGTGTTATACGGTGGAACAAACGAGTGGCAGGATGTAAATAACCGGTCGCTTTTTTTACCTCTTCCACGCCGACAACGTTCATTCTTTTCGATATATCGGCGTTTAAAGAGTAGAGCAAGAGGACCACTGAAACACCGAATATGGACGAAGGAAGGGTTCGCGGGGTTCCCGAAAACGAGGCAGGTAACATCACTAAAGTGTCAGCTGCATCACAATTCGCGATGGTAAAGGCCGCGCTTGTTAGCGAGCTGGCCGCGCCCGCGGCTACACACATATACAAAAAGCGCTCGTCTCTCCTCTTGCGGTCCAGCCGGAGGGAGAAGTATATAGTGCGAACGTAGGAAAAAAAATTTTGGAAAAAAAGACATTTTAGTCGCAAACGGATACGCGCGCGGAACGTCGACTTTTGGGGAGAACAAGGAAGGGTCCACTATACACACATCAGTCGATCTTGTGTGTTTATTCCAAAGACGAAAATCCAACGACCCTTTCTTCCATCTCGCTCCGGATATGGATCTCTCTCTCTCTCTTTTTCTTCTTTCCTCACAGTTTCTTGTTCTTTATCTTAAAAAAAAAAAAAAAATTTTCTCTTTTTCTTATACTCTCATCCCTTACTGATGTATGTCATTCTATCTCTCTTTCTCTCTTTGTGTCTTTTCCTCTTTGAGGACTATAAGCGAATCGCGCAGTTGTTGTTCTTTGGTAAATGCCGACTGCTCCTTGCTTCTTCAATGTTTCGATACAAATTACATGAAGAGGACACGAAGAGAGAGCGACGCCGATGGACGAACGACGACTTCAAAACGAGGAGGAAGAAGAAGAAGAAGGCCCCCTGAATACGCACACGCGAGAAGATCATTCTCTTCCTTCTTATACATGTCGCGTTGTTTCTCTCTTCTTCCTCACGCGCGATGCTTGCAAAAGAAGAGTAGAAACTGATGTTATCATTAAACTGACCCAAGTTTTTTTTGCAACCTAATGCAATGTATTTTTTCTTTTTCTTTGAATTTATTTTTCAAATGATACATTTTCTGAATCAATAAGTAAAATTAGTGTTATATTAATTAATTTGTTTATTTTATATGCAAATGAAGAATTTTAATACATAAAAACACCATTGTTGGACATTCCATTTTATAGGTTAAATTGACATGATTTAACATAATTGACATAATTCTCGTAAACTACCGCACCCTAGTGAAAACTTTGTAACTTTATAGTATCTTTTAAATTTAACAATAAGTCACTAAATTTTCACTAAAACAGGATTCATAACATTTATTACCACAAAAAACACGTGCCTATCACTTTTTAAGGTTATGATAATTACATATTGTTAATTTGATTATATAATATTACCTGTTAATACCTACTGTAATATTACAAAACATTTCAAAAACCACTTAAAAATATTTGACTAATTAATTATTTTTTTCTGTTTTATCATAAAAAACTTTGGAAATTTTATGTATTTCAAATAAGCGTGTAATATTACTGTAATATTAACCGGTAATATTACCATGAAGCGGACATTTTAATATTATATGGTAATATTACGTGCTCCTTGGGTAATTTATTATAATATAAACAATTTTTTCCTAAATTTTTTTAATTTTCAATTGTAAAAAAACGACTTAAAGTTAATAAAACAAATTTACATTTCATTTTTGTAATTCAAATTCAAGAGATATAAAATTTAATTATAATAACTTCAAGTCATATATAATTTCAACAATTGAAAATTTTTAATTTTCATTTTTTCTATTTTTAATATTAAAAAAATCGGACAAGTGTGAGTTACACTCGCATTAAAACCGAGGGTACCGTACCCTTAAACCTAAAATTTGAGGGGTTTAAAGTTTGAAGGCCTAGATAGAAAACATAGACATAAACATAGAACATAATCTACGCATAAATTTGAAAATAATCTGAGCATATAGATTTTAAAATAAATTAATAAAACTAAAAAATAATAAAAATATCAACAAATAAAAAATGTCAAAAGATAAAAAAAATAGCAAATGGTAAAAAATAGAAAATGGCAAATTATAAAAAATGGCAAAACACTACAAAAAAATATAACAAGCACAATTGGAGTTGAAAAAAAATCATAGGAATTTGCCCCAAAAAAAGGAAGAAAATTTTATCTTTCAAGGTCAAAAATTGTAAAACTTAAGGAAAAAGTCCACTTTTTAAAAAAATTGTATTTTTTGAAAAAACTCAATTAAAATAATTGCCTATCATGTTTATTAAATTTTTCCTGTAATCTACACGCAAAAATACGTAAGTATACCAAATATGAACTGTCTTGGTCAAATAGTGTGTGCGCTAGGTGGATTAAACGCTTTTTTTCAAAATTTTTGATTTTTCCTTGACAACGCTATGTAAATTGATCCGAATCATGTTCGCTATATTTTTCCTGTAGTTTTCACGTAAAAATACATAAGTGTACCAAATTTGAGCTCCCTATGTAAAAAGATGTTGCAACTAGGGGGGGGTACATAGTCATTTTCAGGGATTTTTCGTAAAAATTCATGGTTTTTCCTTGACAACGCTATGATAATTAATTCCTATGAGATTCGCAATATTTTTCCTGTAATCTACACGCCAAAATACACATTTATACCAAATTTTAGCCCTCTAGATAAATTCGTGCGGCCGCTAGGGTGTACATGCCTTGCTTCACTAGTCTCATTAATAGGGTTCCCCCTTCGTGTACGGAACCCTAAAAAATGCAAAATTGAACAATATCTTAATAAAATTATTAAATATATTATTACATATAATTAAATAATTAATAATTTGTATAATAATTAATTATACATTTATTATACTAAATTATTATTAAATATCAATATTATCTATGTTATTACTTTTTTTTATATTTAATTAATTAATTAATTAATTAATTAATTACAAGATTCGAAAAATTACAAAATTTTATCAAAGCTAATAAATTTTTAAATATGATTAATATTTAAAAAAAATACAATATATTTTTATAATAAATTGATTATTTCTAAGTGCAGAATTAAGTATAATTTTTACGACTGGTAAAAGTATTAATATCCAACATCAAAAAAATTTTAAAAGTATAATTCAAAATTTTGGGTTTAAATAAGAAACTACAATTTTTTTCAAGAAATCAAAAATATAGGTCAAAAAATTTAAATACAATCAGTATATATATTCATTTTTTAAAAAAAATCTATTAATATAAGATAAACGATGACGTCGTTAGATAACCTTATCGCAACGTCATCGATTTATTTTCATGTATATTTAAAAAATATTATTTAAAGATAAATTATGTCTATTAATTTACATAATTACTCTCTACATAAATAATACATTTTAACAGTTGAATCAATAAATACAGTAATATAACGATTCGATATTTATTATAGTCATTGCGAGATCTAAAGCATATATACATATATGGAAATTAAAAACATCTGTTTTTAAAGTCATAGACTTTATATCATATATATATATATATATACCACTATATTCAACGTCACATTTTTTTTATACATGTATATACGTTGTCTTTAAACATTTACGTTTTAAATATTCTTTATTTAAATATCAGATGAGTTAGAATAAATGAACGTCTAATAACATCTATTTTGAAAGTGTACAATATATAAATCGTTAATTTTAATCAATATACGTATATTTAGTATATATGAACAGTTGTATGACCATTTAAAATAACAAAAATTATAGAA